CATCTAAGGGGGAGTGTTATAAATTCATTGAATGAGTGGATAGTCCATAAGGTTGGTACATGAACAACCATTCATATTCACTAGGTTACATGAACCTTTTTAGATAAGAATGTACCTATTTATTATGATACTTAATATGGTGACCTTTGGAGTGATTTCTCACTCTATAAATAGGGTTGTTTATTCACTATTGTAATATAGATACATATGAGATTTGCATACACTTGAATAAGAAGAAAATCTTATCTTCCATCTTACTCCTCTTGTCTTCATCTCTTTATATTTATATTGCCATGAGCTTAATTTTATAACAAAAATACATTATTAAATATTAATTGTAACAGTAATTTCGAATAAAATTGAAATATTTTTTAGAGCATTTTCCCTTTAATTTAACTTGGGACATTTTGATGATTTCATCTCTGTCTTCTCTGGTTTACGCAAAAATAACTTATATTTTAGTGTCTTTGATAGAAACCCTTTTATTAATGGAGTAATTTTATTTAGGTGGGTTGCAACAGCTCCTGATATCATATAATTCAAATGTGCTCTTCTCCGGCGGTTCTCAATTGCTTCGTCGTTCTGGTAAAGCTTCACTTCAATTTTCTTTGTGATTTGTTTCTAATTTGCTGTTTTTGATTTCCTCATATGCGATTTTTTTCCTTCATTCATAATGACTTACTTTTCATCAATTCTCTTTGAATTCTCATAACTTGGTTAGTTGTGTGTACCAATCGGTTATTGTAAACCATTTCTCACTATGTTTGTACGGAGTTGGGTTTGGGAGGAGAGAATTGACCACAGACAGTTGATCTTAAGCCAAATATTAATAAGAGGCCTTAAAATTCAAATCTTATTTGTGATTAGCATTGTACATACTTTTTTTTTTATATGTAGGACAAATTTTATTGAGTGAACTTCTATACCTTAGAGCAACAGAATAAATCTGTTGCACAAAGCTTTAAAGTCACCACTGATCCAAGTTTTGATAGTAAATGGAGCAGTCTATATGTAGTCTAAACCCGATTAAGCAGCGGATATCTTGGTTAATGGGCAAAAACCATGTTTGAGGCTAGCTTTCCACACTTTTTGAGTATCAAGTATCATGTCACCACATTCATGCTCATTCCAACCTTCCAATGCATGCAAAATTCCAGCTATTCTCCAGGCACTCATCACTCTTCTTGGCAGCCAATTCTAGATTCAAAATGTAAAATCACACTCATTTAAGATCAAATTAGTATAGAGAAATTAAGGAAAATTGAATAATCTTTTCTAACCTCACAAGAGTCTACATTTTCAACATGTTTTGGAGCAATCATGGCTGGTGTGTTGAAATAGAAACAATCCTTGCGAACTTTCCTCGGTGGGAATTGTGAATAAGGAATGAATAATGTTCCTTTTGGTGCTTTCAATTGCTCATCTTTGCTCAATCCATCCCCTACTAGCCATGTCTGCAATGTAATACTTCAATTAAGAGTCTCTTTTATAGAAAGGAGACATACATGACATGTTGGGGAAGATTCTTTTCTATATTTTGACTTTCACGAAGTCCAAAGTTGTTCGAACCTCAACATATTGGGTTAAGATATTGACGAGGGAGGGGCAGGTCCAAGGAAATGTAACAAATATGTCTAGATTTAGAGTAGTATATTTCAATCTGTTTCTGGTTTATACCTTTGAAACATTATAACTTTTTGAGAGGACCAAATTAGTTGCAGCCTCTGGGGTAAGCTTTGCTTTAAGTCTCTTGTAATCTTCTTCATCCAACGTGACAACCTATACATAGAAAATTATGATGAATGAGAGAATAGAAAACCAAAACTGGGGAAGGAGATTAATAGTCAATTATACCTGAATTCCTCCTTCGCACAAGACAAGAGCAATGGAGTTAGCAACTTTGGAAAAACGACCTCGAAGGACAACTTGAGAAGTTCCTTTAGGAATGGAATTGAGAACCACGGCCACAGCTAGGCTACTTCCATCAACCACCTTCACTTTCAACTGAGGATGCCTCCTTAGGTGAAGTTCTCCGTTATTATTCAGTTGCTCTTCCTGGAAAGTTACATTTGAAATAATGCATAAATATGAACTGACCCTCTTTAATTGGTTCAACCTACAAACATTGATATAGGATGAGGGGTGAATTTTTTAAAAAATCTTTCTGTCCATAATAACAG